CTCCTTATATGTGCCATTATGAAACTCCAATGTACCTTCACCAAGAAATTTGGCACTCTTGGACTTTGAAAAATGAATAGAATGTGAAAGCTTTCACGAGCTTGAATTGCTACTTAAAATGTTCCAATAAAGCAACTGACTCTCTCTCTCACTTGGCATGCAATTATGACATCTAGTGTTGGGCATCTCAACTTCTTGACCTTGCCATTTTTTTTATGCTTACTTGTATGCACGAGACACGTCACCAAACATCAACCACAACTACACCAACATAGAAAAGCCAATCTGCAAGGGAACTTAACCATGGATGGAGCTTCATAAAGCAAACCAAAACATGCTAAATCTTAATGTGATAAAGACTTGTAGCCATATTTTTGCTACAAAACAAAATCAGGAATGAAGTGATTTGCCTAAGGCCAACTAGTATGATTGGCAATAAATGTAAAAACTCACTTTTTGTGATTTAACTCCACAATTTGACAATACTTTGGTTGTATTTGACGACATCTATTGACCCTTATCTTGTGCGTGATGGAAGGTAGACATTGTTAAATGATTCTCATTTCATCTTATCTTTTTTTCTTATATAACTAAGTGACTCACATAGATTACAAACTTTACTACAGTGTAACTTATTCACTGCTTCTAAATTTATAATACTAGTAGTATTAAAATAAAATAAAAAAATTACCAGTATTGTTACAACCAATGATTCTAAATTTTATTTTAAAGGGTATCTTGTCTAACAAAACTTCTTGGACATTCTATTTTGTACGTGCATGATTTAGCAAAATTAATGGTATGGAGTAGGACTCATTACACACGTTTACAATCAGGAGTGGAGGCCACTTTTCTATATTTTTCTACTTTACAGCTAACAAAATGTAGAGCACAATTCTTTCATTGCCCTTTGATAACTTTTACAGAGAGTATTAACATTTTGACTCAACTATCAACTGTGTGTAGAAAATTGACACTGACCTTTTTCTTAATTATCTTTGCTACCAAATGTGCTGATCAAACAAACTATTTGATCATACTTTTGTATGAGTTATGAGATCTTCAATACTTAGCCACCTAATTTAGAAAGCAACATAAGAATAATGACATGGGATAAAAAAAATTTCGTCAACAGATCCAAACAATAAAAGAGAAATAGGTCCACTATTGACAGATACTTAGTTATTCCCTAACAAAGTAACCTCCAATTTAGCTGGAACTAACAATCAAACAAACAATATAATATCTTTCCACCAACGATTTTTGGCAGCCACTACATGAGTGTAGCTCAGCTGAATGATCAGTGAGTTGTTTCTTCCCCCTTTTCCTTCAATTAACTCCCAAAGAAATAGTTAACTTCTAAAACATGAATATAATGATGTGCATATATGGACCTTGTTATGTGTCATTTTTTAAGTTGTTGTTAACCCTTTTTTCTTTTCTTATCACTTTTATTTCTTAAGATCAACAATGGTATAACCAAAGCTTTTAAATATATGAATGCTCTTAATTATTTTAGATTATCACTTCAACAACTTTTTTAATGAAGAAAGGGAAAATTAATGTTCTTGTACAAGCTGAAAATATGATACAACTATTAGGTGACAATGCATCAGCAAGGTGCTAATGCCATACCAGAGTGGAAAATATTAAAATTCCAATTACTAGCAAAGCCACTTAGGAAGACTCATGATCAGTTCACTCTTCTGGACCTGCAGATTTACTTTTTACCTGTCAACTAAGTTGTTGGAAATTAATTACCATATAAGCTCCTAAAATAAATATTTCATAAATTAATTTTCTTTAAATGTTATTAACTTTTGAATTAATTTGACAGACCAAATATACATTGCAATGACTACTTTAAATTTTAAAGGACTTATATGACATGCTATATTTTTTAGGTCAATTTGGCTAGTTTTTTTTCCTCCTTCCTTTGCTTATAAAAAAGCAATAGATACGTGTGCTTGTGAGGGTGACAATTGATAAGCAAGTAGTTCCTTCTACAAACAAAATAGTATATGGTCGATAGATAGGCTACAAGTAAATGAAGCAAGATAATTTCTTTCTACTTAACAAAAGATAGTAAGAGCCACACGGTATCTTATCCCATAGGTCATATTGATCCTTCCATTAGAAGTTGTCAAGTTGCAATAACGTGATAGAAATGGCTGAGATACTTTCTTTTATGGCTAGCTAGCTATATGTTCTGCATTTGATCCCACCTTATCAGACTTTTAAATCACACAATTCTTTTTTATTTATTGGTGGCAAACAACAAATAAAAAAAATGTTGTAAAGCTTCACTTGCTAGGAGGCACAGAGGAAGAAAAACAAAAAGATAGAGAACAAGAGGAGGTTTAGTGATGAACATATAAGATCACTATAATGCATATTTGAGTCAGATTCAAAGCTTGAGCCAAGGAAGAAGTTGCAGTTGGCAAGATATCTTGGTCTACAACCTCGCCAAGTTGCCATATGGTTCCAAAACAAAAGGGCAAGGTGGAAATCAAACGTATAGAGCAAGAGTTCAGGAAACTCAAAGATGAATATGACAATTTAGCATCAAGGTTTAAGTCCTTAAAGAAAGAGAAGGAGTTTTTGCAATTAGAGGTAATTAAGTTCATGGTTCTTTAACAAGACTAGTTCTTAATAAAGCATGTGACCCTTAATTGTGTTGTTTTTTTTATGAACAGTTGGAGAGGCTAAGTGATTTGGTGATAACATCTCATGATGGTGGAAGGAAAAACAAGGGTGCCAAAGAAAACAACATTGGAGATTGTGGCTCAAGCAATGGATATAGCTGCTAGAAGGCTGAAGCAAAACCAATGTTTTCAAATCAGGGTTTGGAGGACAAAATATGTGTGTATTCAGATGACCAAAATGAGAATAACATCATAAGGGGCGAGAAATATGAGGACAAAGAACACCAACTTCTTAGAATGGATGATGACCATGAAGAGATGCCATTGGCATCACTTGAGAAGTGGTATAGTATTATGGACCACAGTGGCATCTTGGACCAACCATGTAGCAATTCTCAATGGTTGGACTTCTGGACTTGAAAAGTGAACCACACTTTGTGTTGTATGTATGATGTTTGTTTCCTCCAATAAGGAACAAAGATTGGTTGGAACTTCTGCTACCAACAGGTAAAAACTCAACATTCCAGCTTTGCAGGATGTCAAATATGTCAAGAAAACTTGAAGCAAAATTTGTAGGCATGATTTGATAGGGAGAGAATTAAGATAGCCTAAATTCAATTGTGTAGAGATTTGAAGAAGAAAAAATGTGGATTGTCTCTATTTGTTCACTTGCATGCCTTTCCCACCCCTTTGTGTGTGTTATTTCTTCTTTTTTCCTTTTCCACTTCAATGGGTTCACTAAAACCTCTTTGTTCTTAAAGGATCCTCTCTTTAATCACCTTAGCTTATGCCCATATTAACAAGTGTGATCTTTATAGGGACTCAAACAAAATGAATGAATGTTGTAATAAGATATTGCTCAAATTCATGAAGTAGTGTGAATATGTTAATTTCAATTTCTTGGCTTGTCTTATAGACCTATTTCCATTATATACTATGTATGGAATAAATGCAACTCATAATCCTACCAGATCAACTTTGTTTAATAGTATCACTAGATCGTGCAACGCAGCGTTCTTAAGCAGTTAGCACTAAATATGAAGGATAATTACAAGTCCTGAAAGGGAATTGTTTAAGTTCATCTGATTTTCATTAGATAGTTTGATTAGCTTAAAGTGAATTCATTAATATATGTTGTGTTAAAACACTAGAATGTTGATGTAGTCAAACTTAGTGAAGCCTGAGACCAAATCGCCTTAGATTTTAATTTTTTTAATCATTCTATTAATGTGAAATATTTAGTTTTAGTCGCTGTCTAAAAATCTGCTAGAGCACCTTTGAATTGAAATTTAAACCTTAGAGTTAGACTATGATATATAGTGCTATAAATACACTTATATATGTTCATTCAACAATAGCATGAAGAATTACGGCACAACCTTGTATGTTTGTTGATTGATAGTTGATACACAACGTGAGAAGGGAAACATAGTACAGTTGAAGAAAGGGCTTAAGAAAAAGGTATATTGAAAAAAAAAGAAATACTTCTATTTTTTTTTAATTCGTGTATAGTTTAAATTGGATTAAAAACATATTTTTAAGACTATTTTCCTATGTTTCATCTTTAGTTATATTATGTCATGAATATGTTTAAAATGAAATAAAACAAGTGTTATCATCCTATCCGATCTTTTAAATTTCAGCAAATCAAATACCATTATCAACTATAATACCATACAAATATCTATCTCTTTGAGTAAGTTTGATGTTGTTGACATTAAATATTGAGTAATTTAACCGTATAGCACTTGAAATATTAAAAATAATACTATTATTCACATATAGTTACATTCAATATTATATTTATTAAATTAGAAGGCATTGAAGGAGTGTCCTTATATTTTTATTGATTTGAACTTCACCTCACATTCATCGCTTATCCTAATTCCTACCCCATATTAAACAACAATCATTTTAACAATATCATAAATGCACATCAAATATGAAGTGAACCCAGTGAACCAATACTTCAAATGTATATGATAAGTTCCTGTCTTCCGCCAAACATTTTCATCAAACATCCTACTTTATTAAAAAAATAAAAATAAAAAGTGGGGATTAAGGATTTCTTTGTATTAAATTTATACATAAATATCATTTTGACGTGTATTTATTTTACTTTTTTTATTGAACTGGATTCTATTTTTTTCTTCTTTAGACTGAAAAAAAATTATAGAATTACGAACACTTAAAAATGCATCATATCTTATAAATAAATTAATTTGGATTAACCTCACAACATGACAGTTTGGCCGAGTGGTCTAAGGCGCCAGATTTAGGCTCTGGTCCGAAAGGGCGTGGGTTCAAATCCCACAGCTGTCAAACCTTTTGTTATTTTTTAATTTCTTTTTCCGGTTTCTATACACAAACCAAACTGATCCATAACGAGATCGGAGACTCAACTGTTACCACACACACACAAGACACAAACTAACCAATTGATACAACGTTGTGCTGGTAACTGGTGTTCTGTCGGGTGCATGTGCATCTATCAGTATTTCATTCAGCAATGGTAGTCTCAGTTTGTAGTATCAACACTAACCCCATAGCATTAGCAACACCATCTTTCTCTTTCAAGTCTCTCAAGTTCCCTCCCTTCTGGCCAACGCAAAAGGTAAAAACAATTTTCCTTTTATGTCATGTGATGTGATGTGATGTGAGTAACAAGGTAGCTTGAATGGTTGGTTTTGGTTGTGGCAGGTGAAGATGGGTCCTCTGAGTGTGTCTCCGATGGGGTTTGGAACGTGGGCATGGGGCAATCAGTTTCTCTGGGGGTACCAGGAATCCATGGATAACGAGCTCCAACAAGTCTTCAACATGGCTGTCGACAACGGCATCAATCTCTTTGACACTGCCGATTCTTATGGCACTGGAAGGTTAAATGGCCAGAGCGAGAAGCTTCTGGGGAGGTTCATTCGAGAATTTCAAGGTTCATCTTGCGTTCCTTTCTCACTTTCATTTAGTTTGGTATGTATTCTGTTGTATATTGCAGTGCCGGTGTAAGTAAATGATTCAGTGTTGGAGATCACACTAAATAGTGATATTTAGCGGCCAAAATAGTGCATATATAAACGGAAAATATCTTTACTCTGTGAGTTAGATTTTGGGATTAACCGATTAAGTTATTTCAAATTCATATACTAAGATAATGTGAGATCTTATCCTAGTAAAAGTTGTTAGCTTTATTGGGCTATTCATGATTGAACCACATGTAAATATTTAGTACAACTCGCTTGAGATTTCTCGTCCTCAATTTGAAAGGAGTGTGTTAGAGATCTTATATAAATTAATCATATGACTAAAATAATATATACAAGTGAGAGATAATTTTCACTCTTTAAACTGACTTTTGTGGTTGAGTTAGAACCGATACCAAATTCAGTTCCTAAGACGTTGTAATGTAGGATGATTTTGTTTTTTGATTTAGGGTCTGTTTGAATAAGTCCTCCATAAGTATTTCTAGGAGAAGACAATAAAAATAAATGAAATAAACTTCTCCAAATACTAAAATTTTCTTATGTATAAGCTAATTGGGAGAAGTTTTCTCATATTAGCTTCTCCAAAATAAGTTTTTTAACTTATATATGCATAAGTTGTGATAGAAGTGTTTTTTAAACTAATATGACTCTACAAAGTTTGCACTATTTTGGCTATGATATAGTGATAGAAGTATTTGGCTATTTTATCTCAGAGCAAAAGGGGAGCCAGCGTGATATAGTGATTGCTACAAAGTTTGCAGCATATCCATGGCGCCTTACACCAGGGCAGTTTGTGAATGCTTGCAGGTATTGGTTTCCATTAAATCATTCCTGAGCCTTCCATCCAATCTCCCACAACAAATATTTCTGGATTTATTTTCATTGCCTATGATTTTGAACTTGGATGAAACAAATTTCCAGGGCGTCACTAGATAGAATGCAAATTGATCAAATTGGGATAGGACAGCTACATTGGTCAACTGCAAACTATGCTCCTTTGCAGGAGATAGCTCTTTGGGATGGTTTAGTGGCAATGTACGAGAAGGTTACGATAATTCATTATTAATAGTAGGGTTCTTGGTATATACAAATAGGATTTGAATCCTCTGATTGCTCACTTTAAAGGATAAAGTAACAAATCTTAATTGTTGACGAAAAATCAGTAGTTGATATTTCAACTTATCCTTAATTTGTTATGCATATGCACATAATATTAATGGTTAGTTTTCTCATCAAACTATTGAAATTTGTAACTTTACCCTCTAAAATGAGTTGTCCCCTTTAGAAGAGCCACTTCCAAAATAAATAAGACCTTGAGTGAAACATTGTTTAAAGACTTTGTCCTATCTAATCATCATACCTAAGTCTGCGATGCTACATAACTATTGTAAACCTGAAAGGGAAGGACACTTTTTCTTAAAGCACTGAATGGGGATAAAGTAATTAAAGGTGCTTTTGATCATATATTCTTTTTTAGTTTCAGATGAGCATATTAAAATATTGATTGCAATGGTTATGTCTTGTAGAAAAATATTAGTTTAAATTTCTTAAATGATCAGAGTTCCTGTACTCATTTATGCTGTCATTTAGGGATTAGTTAAAGCAGTTGGAGTGAGTAATTATGGACCAAAGCAGCTTTTAAAGATACATGATTACCTGAAAGACCGTGGAGTCCCCTTATGCTCAGCCCAGGTATAAAATTATGCATAGATGTAAACTTTAAATTCAAATTTTGCTAGAAATGATGGGAAAGTAGTCTGAACTAGTGAACTCTTACATATCGTTGAGAGACTTCAGAGGAAAAGTACTTGGGACAAAACTATTGATTATAATTTAATATCACGCTTTGTTGAGTTTCTGAAAATGATATCAGTTTAGTGAACATGAGTTGCTTGAATAACTTGAAGCAGTTGTGAATTCCAGGACATCAAGCTATCCTGATATTCTCTTATTAACCTTCTTTTTAATTTAAACATTTCAGGTGCAATTTTCTTTGATAAGCATGGGGAAAGATCAACTAGAGATCAAGAGTATATGCGACTCTCTGGGTATTCGCATGATTGCTTATAGTCCTCTAGGACTTGGAATGCTTACTGGGAAATACTCACCATCCGAACTTCCTAGTGGGCCAAGGTGTGTTGATATTTAAGCAAATATATTATAGAACGCTAGAGTGATAAACTTCATAACCTAATGCATTATTAGCTTTTCTTGTAGTAGTTTTGTAATTAATCTCATTTCACAGGGCGTTGCTATTTAAGCAAATACTTCCGGGACTGGATCCTTTATTGAGTTCCTTGAGAAATATTGCAAATAAACGGCGCAAAACCATGTCACAAGTAATCCTTTTCCCCTTTATTTTACCTTTGTATGCTAGAAATATCTTAAAGCTGTCTTATGACTGTCGAATAGTTAGATGCCACAAAATATATAATCTTAGTCTTCAGGTATATGTAGTAATATATTTTATTTGTGTGGAAAGCACACCGACCACCAAAATCTAATTTAATCACATTTAGGCCCTCGTAGCTTGGCCAGCTTTTGTATAACATGTTTTGATCCAATTTTGCAATCATATTCAGGCTATAAGCATCTTTCTTCGGTCTCTCCAGATCAGCCAATACTAAACTCTGCATAACAGAAAACCAAGATCCTATTATTCAAGGAACCTTGTACATCACTTCACATATTATCCAATTAAAGGATATTATCATATTATGTCTTTTTTTTTATCAGCATTAAAGGATAGTATGTATTATCTTGCTTCATTGATATCTTGAGTCAGAAAGGAACGACTACATCTTATCCACTATAACATGAGAACTACAGCTGCTTCATTATCAGGATCAACCACCTAGAAGCCAACTTTTAATGTCACATTTATGTTTTTAAATGCCGTGCTTACCTACGCAACTTACTTTTTGAAAGGTTATAAAGTTCCCTTTTACAGAACCACCGACCAACCCAATTAAATGTCTTTGTTTTAGGTGCGCGGAAAATGACAATGTTGACCACCTACTTGACCAACCTTGCCTGAGTAACATACCTTATCATCTCATTCTTTACGTTATCATGTCAGGTTGCTATAAATTGGTGCATATGCAAAGGTACTGTTCCAATTCCTGGAGTCAAGTCCATTAAACAAGTAGAGGAAAATTTGGGTGCTCTTGGATGGCGCCTCTCCTCAGACGAGTTGCTTCAGTTGGAGTATGCAGCAAACGAATCACCTCGCAGGATGATCCAAAACGTTTTCCAAACTAGGTATACATTATCCCATTTAACAAAATAGAAAGAGAAAGATGTTGAAATATTAAAATGTTTTACACAACTTGGCATTCATAACAGATAATACATGGAGCGAGACCTCAGCACAAGGTGCGGACGAAAAACAACGCGTAATCTTACACACGTATGGTCACAGGTTTATATCATCTGGTATCATGAAAGGTGTAGAGCATGCAATAATTCGATAGTTTCACTAGTCCAGGATAATTGACAATGAATCCTTCTGATTGTGAGTGTCATACATTAGGTTTAAACTAAAGAACTTGCGACCAAATTGTGATTCCCCAAAGTACCTCTGGACAATCATGTTATCATAATATTGTTTTATTGTTTAAAATTATACCAACACACAAAAAAGACTGTTTAATGAGAACCATATCATCTGCCTAGTAGTAAGAATAGGATGCTAAGATAGTACTCCATTTTTTTTTATGACATTTATAGTTATACAAGAATTAATTTTTCAAAATATTTATTACTTATTTTTCTGTTATATCCTTTAAGTAATTGAAAAAAATATAACTACATTAAGAATTAATAAACATTGTTCAATAATCATACATTAATTATCAAGAATAAAAATATAAAAAAAAATTAATAAGTCATTAATTTTTAAAAAAATGACAATAAAAATAATAAAAAATAATGTCAAAATAACTATGAATGAAAAATGAAAAGAATATATACTAAATCTTAAGTTCAAATCTTATTTTTATTATTGTAATTTTTTAATTTCTATGGATAAGACAAAAATAACTTTTTAATGTGCAATGCTAAATGAAGTTTTCTATACTTACCAGCCACGCTTGCATTCACAACTACTGAAAAATAGAGAATTCGTTTGCTTTCATATTATTGCATCTTCCGTAATTGATACCTACACAACTTCGTATCAAATGCAAAAACAATGAAACTACTTCCAACTAGAGTCACTGCATATTAGTAACACAACTCAACAAGAAACTCTACTTGTAATTATCGGGCCTGGTCTTTCACTAGTTAAAAAGGAATAAGTACGAGGTATTCAACAATTACAGCTCAGTCTTTCACGAGTTAAAATGAAAAAGGTAAAGTATACCAAATTATGGTGATAGGGAACAAAGACATCACACGCATTATTATCAAAAACAAAACTGTCATCACAAGGAAATGTTGCATAATTGATATCAATCCGTCTCAAACTAAACAAAAATAATAGAGTAACTTTGACTGTCACATTTCCAAAAGATTTCCTACAATACTAAGTAGCTAATGGAGTTATTAGGATTACAAGACAACCAGTAATCCATAACAACGCAGAATTCCTTCGGGCAAGCAGAACAGTCTACTTGATCTTCTTCTTTGGCCTCAACTGCAACACAAAAAGTAAATGCCGTGGTAACTGATAATATCACGGGAATACCGTTAAAAAAAGAAGCACAACGGATAGGGCTAATAAACAATAGATTTTGGATAGTCTACAGTTCAAAACAAACTGCACACGGTGTCTACTATACCTGGTTGCTGTGTCCACACTTCTTTTTCCTGCAGTTCACAGCACGGGGGTGTAGGCGTGCATAGCACCTGCAAAACACATCGATTTATAAGCACAATGGCTGAATTAACATTATACAGAGAATAAACGATATAGATTATGTTAGTTCCAAAAATATAAAATGTTTTTTCCAAATAGTCATTGTCATTGACACTGAACATGAATAAGTTATACTAATTACATTTATTTTCCAACAAAGCATTAGAATTTAACACCTTCCTTCACCTACAAAAGATCAAAACCAGAAGAAAATACTCGAAATTAATGCTTGAACACTAGAACTCAAAAGAATAATTTCAAGAAAATGATTTACAAATCCTATTAACAATTAGGAAGTTCACAGATAGGCAGATATTAGAGGATATATGATTTCACCGAATTTAATTCTAAGACCTCAATCCAAATTCCAAACAAGTTTCATATAAGAAATCATTTGTAAATGAAATTGTCTTTTATTTCAGCTGTGCCAAGACAATAGCAATTATTCAAAAGTCAATTTTGCTACATACGTTTAATGTTATCAAAAAGATTCTGGCTCATATCCCAACATTTATGCACATCAAGATTTCAGTGCATGTAAGGAAGCTAAAGGTAAAAATATGTTCTTGATGTTCATTTGGATGAGGAAAAGAGAGGAAAGAAAATAGAGACGAGAAAATAAGGAAGAAATGGGTAAAATCAGGTGTTTAAAACAAAATATCTTATCCTTGTAATCAGAATTTCTTTATTAAAAAAATCATTACTGTAATTTAATCATTTTTTGCCCTTAAATAATTTATGCAAAAGTTAATAATGTTATTTATTGTGGTTAATCAATTATTCTACACCAACAGATTGGCATCTTTTCATCTATATCCAACACTCAAGGTGATCAAGAATGAGTAGATATGGGACAGGACAGGGTGGATTAGATAAATAAAAACACTTGAAATCAATTGAGATGGGTGTGATTGATGGGGAAATGTTTTAAACAGATGGAATGAGAAGACAGAAACATAAAGTGTAAACAGAATGTGTCCTGCCAAGTTCTCATGACAACATTGCAAAGAAGGAAAATTTGGGTAGAACACACCCAAACTGACCTCTTCCATCCAAATGATGGATAACTGTTTTTTCTCTCCTCTTTATCTATTGATCAAAACAAAGAATTAAGGAACTAGAACATTCTAAAGTCTTGGGAAGAGATGCCTAAAACCACTTACCTCACTAAAGATAAGAATAACATTAGACAAGAATAAACAAAGAAAACAATTGACTATTTTGCATTTGTTCTTTGCATAAATCAAGTATTTAAACACATCCTTCATTGGGGGAGTTCTTGTGTTATGAAACAAAGTCCCAGAGACTGTTTCTTGGTTAACAATCCCATTCACAAACAAAATTGTGGATTGTTAGGAATATTGGATGGTTGTGAGTTTGCTGGTGAAGATCTTGAAATCAATTGAATCACAGATCTTCATGAGCTGTTCAAGTGCAAGTGTGCATCCCACAACCAAGCAACCTTGTCATGAGTCTCTCGCACTATAACTAACATCTCTGTTATTCATCTTCCCAGTTTGACTTCATTTGGATTGTTTTCTAACGTGTTGTCAAAAACTTGCCTGACTTGTAACTTTAACAATATTATAACATTGAGTTATATGTGACTTTTCAAAATGAGTTCTATGGCACCTTTGACTACACATACTTTATAAGGACAATATTTCTAATTACTTCTGAAAACATCAACAGATTCAGTACAAGGATATGTAAACTTACTTGCGGCAAATCATCTTATCCTGGTTATATTTCCTAGCCAAAGCCATCAAAGATGGCTCAATAATACCACCACGAAGCCTCAAAACAAGATGCAATGTTGACTCTGCAAAATAGAGAAACCAAACAAATAAGGGCACACAGTTGAAACTAGAGTCATTGAGCATAATTAACAATATTAGGGGTCTGGTGTTCTCAGTAAGTAGGACCAAAGTGCTAGTGTCTGACACTATAAAGTAAAGCATTTGAAAATTGTAAAATTTACACGCCCATATTTCATAAAGACTATTATGTTAATTATCAATTTTCCAACTCCAACTTACCACCTACTCCAAACACACAACCTTGACATTCATACACATATATGACTATATACAAATTCTACAAAACATATAAAAAACCAACAATTACAGCATTCAAAATATTTAACATATTAGTTCAATTGATATGGCCAAATAGTACGCAATTTCGAAATTGAGATATTCCAAACCTTTCTGAATGTTGTAATCGGCGAGGGTACGGCCATCCTCAAGCTGTTTCCCTGCGAAGATCAACCTCTGCTGATCCGGAGGGATTCCTAAACAATGAGAAACAAAATGAATCAAACAAGAGAGAATGATAATCAATAAAACGTATCGTTTAGATTAAAGCGCACCCTCTTTGTCCTGAATCTTAGTTTTGACATTATCAATGGTATCGCTTGACTCCACCTCAAGGGTGATGGTCTTCCCGGTTAGAGTTTTCACAAAGATCTGCATCTTTCCTCCCTCTCTTCTCAACTTACTATTAGGGTTTCTAGTGTCTGTGTACGTAATATATATATAAGGGGTAGAATTTTAATTTTTTTTATTAGGGTTTTCAGAACTCGGTGTTTGGATACCCAGGTTATGCTACTCCAGAACTAATTCCGTTGTTTGTCTCTAGTCCTCTTCCTTTATTACTACTCGTCCCGGCCGACGAGGAAGGCCAAGTGGCTCTCTTTGTTTCGACAGGCCAACTGTTTATTGCAGCCTTACACCACCTCCTACAAGAAGTTCAAAGTAGGATTTATAAAGGTGATGATTCG